TACCTTTTCATGCTTTTTTAAAGAAAAAAAAAAATCCGCTTTTGAAACGAGGGAGGAGTGGCGAGGGCAGCGGCTCCCGCCACCGGCGGGCCATGTGCCGGGCCAGCGGACGGCGGAGATGGGAACCATCGCCTGGAACTGTTCATCCACTCCACGGCCCCGCAGCCTTTAACCCTTCCACTCCAGCACCTCGCCGTTTTAACCCCTCTACTCCGTCGCCTCTAAAGTTTTAACTTCTCTGCTCCATCCCCTCTCAGTTTTAACTTCTCTACTCCATCACCTCACCGTGTTCAGCCCTTCTGCTCCATCACTTTGCAGTGTCCAACCCCTCTACCACATCTCTTCTCAATCTTTAACCCCCCCCATACTCCATCACCTCAGTCTTAGCCCCCCTAACTCCCATCATCTCTCAGTCTGTAACCCCTCAACTCCACCACCTCAGTCTATAACCCCTCTTCTCCTTTACCTTGCAGTTTTAGCCCCTCTACTCCCTCCCTTCTTGGACTTTACCCCCTCTCCTCCCTGCTGGGCAGTGCCACAATTCCCAGTCCAGCCCAAAACTGTCACACTAAGCGTGTGGGACAACCCTGAAAAGTTTGGAGAAGTTGGGAGCTGGCAATGACCGGAGGTGCTGGCGGTGGTTGGAGATATCTCCAGCACAGCGCAGCCCACACTCCACATCCCTGCACCCACCTAAAAATCAGTAGGGCCCCGCAGTCAGGGAGGAGAACGGGACTTGGCTCCGCTTCACGAACCCTGCCAGAACTTTCCTCTGTTTATAAACTTTACATATGAGAACTATTTCGTTTAATTGCAGCCCGAGTAAGTCTAAATATAAAATCTGTAGGCAATAGATGGAGCCGATATGGGACTGGTGTGTTTGTATTCAGAAGGGCGAGCGGAGGAAGAGTTAGTTAATGAGGTGTATTGGAAGCAGGACAACTTCTCCAATCCTGCTATTTATTTTACCGGTTCCTACCTCCATGGCAAGACCACATAATCTCCAAGTCCCACATGAAACTTGCCTCAGAGTCTTCCGTAAATGTTCGTAAGTCCTCCTGGAGCTGATTGTGCTATCAATCATGTCAGAGGCCGAAAAGGAGCGGAGGAAAAAGTTGGTAAAACTTGTCATCGGTCCGTGCGTGCGCACAGACACACCTCATATATTACAGGAGCCCCAGCAAAAAACCGGGGGTATCAGCAACGGCTCTTTAATACCTGAGTCTTTCTTGTTGTATTACTTTACTCCAGGCTAAATAGTTGCTGCTTGTTGGTGTATTCCCACAGCAATATGTCATTGCCAAGGAGCATCCCCCCGCGCGCACGGTCCCAGGGCCTAACACTGCTCTCATTCATCGCGGGTTCAGGTTGGGCTGACCCTGCTGGGGCTGGGATGGGCTCTCCCCAGTGCAGTGGCACTGCCCCGGCTCCAGCAGAGCCCACTCCAGCTTCCCAACTGTGTTTATTTTCCTATGGAGGAGCAAAATTGCTTTCTGTGCTCTGGGCATCTGCGCCGTTGAGTTAAGGACGGTATTGTTGCAGGGCTGAATTCCCTGGGAATTCCCTCCCTTTGGGAAAAAGAAGAAAAAGAAAAAAAAAATATTTTCCCAAAGAAAAGCTATTAGTTGAGGCCCACGTTTTGTTTTGAAACACAAGTATGGGCAGAGGTATGGGACATTTTCACTGATCCACTTTCCCCCAGATTTGCTTTATCCTGGCTTTTCTGTAGTGATCCACATTTCTCCTAAGAAAACAGCCCTGTTGTTGAATTTCTGTGCATCTGTTCCAGCGAGACAGTTGAAGCAGGGCAGTATAAAGCAACAGATGCTTATGCTGGCACATGCCTAAATACCCAAGAAAACCCCGACTGCAGGGTGATAAATGGCACAGAGAGGCGAATGTGTATCGCCTTTTCAGGGGATTAGACAAAAGTGAACTGGAGGGATCTTCAAGCCATCATCTATTAAAAAGATTGATAACTTGTAACGTGACATGACCCCCGCATTCATCTGTAGCTATGTCCAGCGACTGTCGGCGAGGGAAAAAAAATATATTGATTTGTACAGTATTTTTAATTAAGCTTTGTAATTAGGTCAATTCGTCACGGTCTCAATTAGCCCCCCTCTTGGCGGAGGAGGCTGGCGGCCGTGCCCGGAGCCCTTGGGGAAGCGGCGAGAGCGGGCGGCCGGGGCTGACGCTTCTCCTTTTTCTTTTTGCAGTCCTGGTACCTGGGATAAAAGTCTCCGCTTCCCACCACGCACCGGACAGACCACCAGACCCCTTCCCACCTCTGTAACACGGAAGCAGCAGCAACGCAGCGCAGCGACTTCACATCGGCGGAAGGGGAGGCGAGCAGACACCGACAGCAAACTCGTACATGGAAATGGCAAACGTTATGGTTGAATGGCAAAGGCCGTAACTTTCTCTTGAGATTTGATTTTAATTTTTCTTTTTTTTTTTTTTAATTTTTTTTTTTTTTTTTTAATTTTTTTTTTTTTTTTAGACAACTTTAGGACTGTTGTAATTTCTCATATGGTGCTGGAAATGGTTGGGCTTCATAACTTTTGAAGTGTTTCATTGGTAGTGTAAGCGTTAGGTGACACTGAGTAGAACTAGCCTCTGCTGCTGCTTACCAACTCGCTGTTGTAACACACTTTCCATATGGAGCCTAACTGTTTTACAGTATCCTCATCGGATTTTCCCATACAGGTGTGAGACTTCTTGAGAAATCATGAAACACACTTAAACTTTTTTTTTTTTTGTAGCTGAATTCTGCAAAAAAAAAAAAACCGGACAGACATAGAGCATGTTTTTTTTTTTTCTGTAACATATCGGGGAAAAAAAAAAATGC